AACGGAGGGAAAAAAAGTGGTGGAATTTTTCATCATGGGTTGACCCATTTCAGAAGATAATGTTCAAAATTTTGCTCATATCAATGTGTGAGCATCTTCAGATATTGAATGCTTAAAATAAAATTGACGAGACAGTGATTGATGATGACCAACCACATCCGTGGGTAATCAGTGATGGGTAGTCATCGATCATCGGCATAAGTATCAACGCTGATCACATGCAACGGATCGGAGAATATGGAATAGAACCTGTCAATAAGGCACAGATTGGGTCACATTAAGGTATAAATACGAATTGAGTTTCGCATTGGCATAATTACACGCTAAATTCGCGCACAAAATTGTCGATTTCCAGGGAGAAATAATAGAGCATCTCAAGTAAGGATATCTTATCCATTTAAATTTTTGTTAAATATCAAAATAGTGCTTTAAAAAAATAGATGTTTGAGATAGATATTGGAAACATATGTCCCAATTTATAGAATAAAAACTCACCTGTTACCTACAATTTTTTTCTTCGATTCTTCAAGAATTTTACCAGTTTAAGAAGACCTTCAAACAAGTAAATAAAACTCTATAAAAAGAGAAAAACCAAAGTGAAGTAGTTTTTTCCATGACGAAACTTGGATCAACGAGCTGGTATTGTGCGGTTGCTACAAAGTTGCCTAACCGGTATATTGCAGGAACTTTATACTGCCGCAGTGTTTCGGTTTGGAGAGGACCACTCACTGGAGGAGGATAGACCGCCCCGCGTAGCCGTGTACGACAAAAAAAACCCCTCGATTATATTCTCTCCGAAACTGACATACCTTCACTTGAACATCAGATGCCATCAATTTTTAGAAAAAATTCATCTGAAAATTACCGTGCAGTTTCATTTCTCAAAATCCTAAATCAATAATGTCCACCCAGAAATGATTGTTTCCCTCTAGAAAATTAAACATTTGAGAATGTGATGAAAAAAGTAAAATGATCTGTCCAAGTGAATAAGAAAACGTAGTTATAGAATGAATACATATCCCTTTTCGCTTGTCAGAATATGTGTTTACAGTGTATTTTCCTTTTCAAAATGCCCATCAGATACTTTTAACTGTCAAAATTTTAAAAACTCTGTATTCCAAAAACGCTGCATCTTCTGAATCAAATGTTCATTCTTGAGTTAGTATTTCAGCAATCATTGAATGATGCAAATTTTCAAAGATAATTCCTCCCTATGACTACAAATGATTATTTTGGCCAAAATTAGGGGAATATTCAGAATTTAAATCTGAATGAGAATGTTTGACACTTTGCGTGGGGATTTCACAAAATGCCAAATTTGATTATTTGCCTGTGACAAATACACGTATACGCAAATAAGCAGTCTCACAACAACTCAACGGGCAGTTGGAATTTTTTAGTGAGACTCCTTGCATTAGTGTAAAGCGTTGAAAATTTCCGAATTCACGCTTCCGATCTTTGATTTTCTTTAAAGATAATCAAACAGTTAGCCTCTTTTCTATTCATTTGAATACTTAATGCGCCAACCGTGTGATGCAGAAGCTTTTTATTATATTTTTTTGAAAAGTTGAGGCTATTATGTGAAGAAATTACCTTAAATTTAGTCATGTTAAATAACATTTTAAAATAATGTATGGAAAATAGTATAATTTTACCCTCGTTGTTTTAGCGCCATAAACGCGTTCTTTTAAATTATGCGATTTTTGTCGTTATAGTTCTAGTTTATTTATGATGCCATCATAATGTTAAATAACGCATTAAATTGCTTGAAAGCTTCCACCAAAAAAATTCAGATTAATTACAAACTTTGAACATGATTTGTTCCAAAGATTATTTTGCGATTCATAACGTAAGTCCACTTTCATTATCATTTATGTATCGATGGCCAGAAAAAAAAAAAAAACAAACAAACACAGCGTAGATTTTTTAATTTTTTTTCCTTCCTATATTGTTCTACATTTTACCGTTCAAAATTCAACCCATTCGCTGATTTACAAAGTAAAAATAAACCATCGCGAAAATATCTGCACGTCCGATTTAGATACCAAATAAATAATGCGTGAGAGGTTTAGCATTGATTCCAAAATCAAAATGCGTTTAAAAAGTTGATGAAAGGTGCGCAAAGCGAAAAATGAACTTCAGATGAAAAATAAAAGTAAAAAGCCGCGATTCTATTCTCATAGCTTTTTTTGAACTATCCATTCTGATTCACCTGTGCGAGGGCTTGTACCCGTGGTATTTTCCTCTGCCTTCTGTTCATGTTCCGTCCTTCAAAACTTCGAAAACTTACATTTACCCGTGGGATGAGGTTTTTTATGACTTTTAACTCGACCCTCGTGCGGTGTTTTATCCAGTGGAAACGCATTTTTTCAACTATTCGATATGAAATCTAATGTACTTTCTAAGCACATTAGAATGAACGACTTTTCTTTCAGCCTGAATGCATAGATTGTTTTTACAATTTGAAGGGTTAATGGAGGGGGTGATGTGTAGTCGCGTGATCAAATCTGCGCCTCTCTTACGACAGTTTTGACTAAGTTTTTGCTTTAATTTGTGCAAAGGACTTGCGTTTTTCTTAATACTTTTTTCTGTATTGCACATTTTGTGTGTACTTGAAAATAGAATTGTAAAAAAAGAAAAATCACCAAAATGCGGTGCAAATACTGTACGAAACAGACTACTGGAACTATCTTTTGTCTGACAGATCTTCACTATACTGCCGAGAAATTAAAACCAGAAAAACTGAAAATCAGAATTATACCGGCTCAAGAAAAATTCTTATGAATTTCAGCGCAAGAGTGAGAGAAGAAAATTTTCAGCTCAGTCGGATGGATTTGAATACTTGCTACGATCACCCTGAGAAATCTATAATTTTTTTTTTTTTTTAAATTTTTCGTCTCAGGTGAACACCCATGACAGATTTTTGTGAAATTGCTCAAATACTGCAATGATTCCCTTTACTTTCCAGGAATAAAAAAAAGGAGACCGCAAGAAAATCCCTATAGTGACACATTCCGAGCACTAGAATCGAAGTGAATGATTTAATTGAAAAGGGCGCGGACTACCCATAATTATATGCGATAACCGCCCTCCCAGGAAATGTTAGAAATAATCCGTCTGCTTGTGTATTCTCATTGATATTATTTTTTCTCCCAATAAATTAGTTCACTCATCGTGTTTCTGGAAATCTTTCCTTTTTTACTTTTAATAACACAGTGATGGCAAAAAATATTTCCATCGGGTAATATTTCAACGTCAACTTAAAAATCAAAAATACGGAAAACGATTTAAAAACGCTTTGTAACCCTCTGACATTGTGTTTTTTTTTTAAAAAAAATACCTATACATAAAATAAGTGCAACGCAAAAAAATAGCCTCAGACACCCAATTTTTCACTAAAATCAGAGTGAAAAACGCGGTGAAACTGAGCGCGGATTTATTTATACGGCTTTCGCCACCCTTCTTCATTGTCTCTTCATTGTTTGGGAAAAAATCCATACAGTCAGGATTTAAAAAATGTAACATCCCTTCATTCTAATCTCCCCAAAAGTATGTAATTTTTCGGATAGCAATGTTGAAAACTTTGGACTGTATTACGTAGGTCTTGGGACAAGAAGGTTTAGAACATGAAAAACCTCATCCCTCATAAGGGCACATACATGCGTGGGAATCAAAGTGTATAGTTCAACAGAAACCATGGCAATACACGGATATAAGTATGACAATTTCTACTGTATTGTAGGCTAATTTTGGCGTCAGCTAGAAGTGTGAGTACATTTTACCATACCTCTGGCTGGCACCAAAATCAGCCTGGAATATGGTTGAAATTATCTAATTTTTTCCGCGAGAAACACTCTGATGTTGCTCTAGAACCTCCGCAATCCTCGGAAATCATTCGCGTACTTAGTTTACGGTTTTGCCTCAAATTTTGTCTCATCATATGCCTCCATTCGGATTATATTTGATCCAAATCCTTGAATATTTAAAAAGAAGCACAAATCCTCTTCTTCTCAACAAGGCTCTTTCACTACGGGTGTCAATCTTAGCAAATCAATTAAGAAGTACACATTTTCCCCCTTTTGATAGTTGTATTTGAATTGAAAGCAGAGAAAGAAAACAAATTTTTAGGCTCAAAAATCAGGTGCCTGTAGTTGTTCAATTTCTTCTAACCGGGTAAAACGTACAAGAATCTAAAAAATCACACACACTTAAAATTATGAGAACTTACCGAACAGACGAAATTCATCCAATAAAGATATAAAAACAGTTTGCAATTTTACTTATTTATTTTTTTACATCGAACATACGATTCTTCTCTCTAAATACCAGGCTGCCTCAAATTGATGAATGAAAATCAACACAAAAAGTTTAAAGTATGCAAAGAGCCCTGCTGTACGTATCTTGTTTGCGCGACGGTTTGCCCATTGCGGCTTAAGATAAGAAGTTTAATTTCCTTCAAATTCGTTACTCATAAATAGCATGTTACCATCAGCTTTACGTTTTTGATGCCTTATAAACTGTTAAATTATATTACAGTCCAAATTTTACTAGGAGGAATGCTTGCGACTATTCATTGGGAACATACTTAAGCTCAAATGATTAGTTTTCGCGTATTTAGAACCCGATATAGGGTTACTGTTTTAATTGAAGTAAGCAATCTTAAAGAAACAATTGAAAATAGCAAATTAGAACAATATGAACTAAGTTTATGAAACTATCAATGGAATTCTATAAGTTTGTGTACTTAAAATCGGAATGAAAGTGTCCTAAAGGATTCAACCCTACGCTGAGAAAATACTCTTTTTGAGCCAAAGTGAACGTTTGTCAAATATTTCATGCAACGGAATTTCAGTTATTTTGAAAAAAAAACCAAACCTAGTAGTTACTTAAAGAGAAACTTCATTCAATATGAAAGGAATTTGAAATTGAGTATTTTTCTCAGTGTGTGTTGATTAGAGATCACGAACACCACATAATACCATGAAAATAAGTCTACATACCTCGTAGGAGAAATTGTGGAATCCAAACAAAAATATTGATTCTAGGGACGTATGGTCACTGCATCGAGCGGAAATCCACAAAAACGGAGTTAGCTGGTAGAAGATGTCACTTAAGTGTCCTGGATTCTATCCCTGGATGGTCGAATTTCGTAAAATCTTTCGAATCACACCGCACAGTAATCATCAGTGATTTCACAACCGAAAACCGAAAATAACACCATTTGCGATAAACAGAACATCGAACATCAGAACCGCACGATAAATGTTTTCCTCAAAAGCACGTGTAAAAAAAATGAAGATGGTAAGCGATGATAAAGGCACTTGTAAAGGATCTGGCGACACGTGGATGCTGATCCCACAAAATCCGGTCCCGTTGTCGGAGGGAAAGAAGAACGGCTTCCGCCCGGCCGGCGTGGTCGAAAGTAAACAAGAACGGAATGATCACGACACGGAGGACGACAAATCAAGGTGTGTAGCAATTATGAAAAGATCACGATTTCAACCCCCTCGCCGCGGCCGGAGAAGCGAGCGCCGTGAGAAGGGTAGGAGTAGAGTGTGCCCGGAGGGAGGGGGGAGGGGATGGCACGGAGGAGGCTGGAGGGAGGGGGTATCGGAGGCAGGTTGACCCGGTTAAGAATTCAAACGACTCTAGCAATATTCAATAAACATGCACCAGTCGCATCGCACTTGGAAGCGCCGCGCTGCACCACACCGCAGTTACACTATTGATAACTTACTGGTTACAGGTGATGTGAGCATTCGACTGTCGCCGCGGCGCCGGCGGGCCCCTCTCTCTCGCTCTCTCTCGCTCACTCCCGCTTCCAGCCGGCGCCCCCTCTCCTTCTCATGCTCCCTAACTGATCAATCAGAGGGTCCTAATCAGCGGCTCGTTCCTTCGGCGTTCCGGATCCGATCAATTTAAAGTCCTCCCACTCAATGTGATCTTCCTCCGGACGCGTGTATGGAAGTATCAATAGAAAAATCACACCAAATTAACCTGTCATTCAACTGACTTTTTTAAATACTGTTGAATTAGATATCTTGCCTAAATTTTTTTCAAAGCATTCGTTAATTTCTCACAAAAAATGTGCAAATAGTCAGCTTGGAGACTTGAACGCATGGGTACAAAAGTAAGCGTCATTGTTAAAGTGTATATTGACTTTTAGTCTTTTTGACTTCTTCTTCCCTTGGACGTGTGTATGAAAGTATCATTAAAAAATTACACCAAATTAACCTGTCATTTAAAAGATTTTTTTGAACACTGCTGAACTCAATAACATTTTAAAATAACTTCAGACCATTCCATTAATTTCCCACGAAACATGCACAAACAGTCAACTTGGAGACTTAAACGCGTGGGTATAAAAGTAAGCGTCTTAAAAGCATATCGACGGCCGAAAAGCGAGACCACGTGCCACCATCGCAGTATTTCAAAACTTCTGCTCCTATTTTATTTTCTTAAAGAGAAACAAGTCATCTTTATAGCTTAAAATTTACACAACACATTCTGCTAACAGAGGAGAAATTGAGGAAGTTTTCAAAGAAATTACACTGACTATGACTAGTTACCCAAAAGAACAATGATGTATGACAGGAAGAGTGGAATGGCGCAAAAGAGATACGTGATTTTGCGTTTTGGCCATTGATATTGACTTTTTTAGGCATCAAATCAGGAGGCTAAAATACGACGTTTACGACGAATTTATATGATTAATCGCATATATTATAACTAACCAGAGTTTAGAGTAAAATTCTGGGATTTTTTTTTTTTTTTTCATTTCTTTTTGAATTTTGGGTTGACAAATTTTTGTTTGCATCGGGAAGTACCCAACTCTAAGGTCTCACAACGACTGTAGTTTACTACCATCCAATCGAAAAGTTACATATTCATTGCTTCGGGGCTCTTTTTGGAAACTGCATAGCGTGCGCCAAAAATATTTTCCATCAACCAAGAATGTTCGGTTGAATTCAGTTTTTTTCTGTATCCTAGTTTTTTTTTTCCTGAGTCGGTTAACATTCGGAGTAACAGTAGTTAAATTCAACCATGATTATTTCTTCAATTTTACTATTAGTTATACTTTATTTGTATCCCCCTCAACAATTGCTCATAAACTTTGTTTCAATAATGAACACGTTTCCATATCTTGATACTACATGAATGTAACATACGGTTATATTTTTTGCACACCCATGGCAACAAATTAGTGAGTTCATTATACCTACATGTTTAATCAGGGAATACAGGATAACTCACCTACATTTCATAACTCTCCATTAATATCCGACGAAGCATGTACCAATGGTAAGCTTGGAGACTGAAACGCGTGGGTATGAAAAAAGCGTCATCGTAAAAACATATTGACTTAATAAATCACCTGGTTCGATAAGACGTCTACGACAAATTAATAGATTTAAATCACGTATATGATTATCTAAATTGGTTACAACTCACTTTTTAGGATTTGAGAAGAGTTAACCATCGAAATCTCAAATTCGGAAACATTTGTTTGTGCTGAAGATACATTCTTCGTATCAAAAAGTTTACGTTCGTTGTCGCAAGTAAAATTTTACTTTGTGTAATATTTTACTCCTTCGATGCAACAATTTTTTTTTTTTTTTTTTTTT